TGTGATACCAATTGAGTAATTTGCAGGATTTGATGTTTCACAGGATGCTGCTTGCACAGGCTGCCAGTGCCTTGTACTGCAATGTACAAAGCCAGGTTTTGCTTGCTCGGCGTGTTCGCATTTGTTCCTTTGGTGAGAGAGATACTCAATCATCCGGGAGCCACACTGGGTCATTAGACTCTTTTTCAGGAGGTTCCTGCTGCATTGTTTTTATTTATGTATTTACTTAAATATGTTTCCAGCCAATTTACGATTAATGTTTGTTCCCATAGAGATGTAAACAGATGGTGGTTCGTCCACTTGCTGTACTGCCATCTGGCAAGTCAGGCTATGGCACCTCAACGCCCATGGGAAGGGAGTTCCACACATCAGTGTTTGAGCCACCAACCCTCGCCGAAAGTGCCGGATTACAGGCCACATGCATAGGCTGGCGGTGGCGCCATCTCATGTGCTTAGTTTACAAATAAATAATTTCTTTAAAGCCCACCAGAAACTTTTTTTGTAGAGGTTCGTGGTTGGAATTTTGCAGGCCGCCCTGGTTAATACTGCGGGTGTATTGATGAAAATACACATTTGTCTACTTCACAGTGGACATGAGAGTTCCCGCGACGTCATTCCAACAAGATAGGTCCAAATACGAAAATTTACCCACAACCCACTCGATTGAGAACACATCTCTATCCTTGCCCCTACTGAGAAAGTCCAGCAAAACCCACCTATAAAGGTCTTGAGACTCCGTAAGGATTTCCTTGGGTAAATGAGTGGAATAAAAAAAAACTAACCTATTTTTTATTTTACCAGGTTAGTCCCAGTTTTTCAGAAGCGACCTGGCCACAAATGATTGCTCAACGAAGTAGCTTATCACGTGGAAATCTATAGCAGCCAAATACTCTAAACGCGTGGTGTTGATTCTAAATGTTGAGGGAAAAACCGGAGGAACCGGAGAAAAATCCACGGGGAGAGAGACACGCAAACTCCAAATATACAGACATCAGTCGGAATCGAATCCACGACCTCTTGCATACCAGGCGAGGGATTTAACATCTCGCCACTGCCACGCCCTCCAAGACAATGAGGGAGAATCCTTCATCGTGTTTTTATCACAGTTGCAATGATGTGTTTTTGTCCATTACTAGAATGATCAGTAAATCCTCAGGGACTTGTGGATAACAAAATTGGCCTTTACGGCTATGGGATTTGTGGATAAGAGGGTTACAAACAAGGGGTGTTCTACCGTACATACTCTTACATCTGTAACAGAGTTAAACACCGCATGGACATTAACCAATTACCAGGTAATGGTTCAGCATTGGGCTCTTTGGCCAATACCAGTTACATTGTGTCGTGATTATTTAGCAATGGGAGGAAACCGGGGAAGCCCGACGAAACCAATGTAGACGACTCCACAAAGGAAGGCGCCCGTATCGGCAATCAATTCAGGCCCTTCTGGCTGCGAGGCTTGGGTGTTGTTACCACTGCTCCACTGCTGCTCTGCGGTTCTCTGCCTCGCACCATGGGCATACGAGGCGGTCGTGCGGGTGGTGGCGGTGGAGTAATGGGCGTGTGGTCCCGTGTTTGCTGTGCTCTGCCACAGACGATCTGCGCCCTCATCACGAGCATCCCCATCGTGCAGCCGGCGTTCTTCTCCACGCTCGTCACGGCCATCAGGAGCCGCTCGCCACAACCCAGCCACAGCAGGTGAGGGCCCACACACTGCCTTCGCTGTCTCATAATTCATTCCCTACCCACCACTCCCGGTGTGCACCCCACCCACAAAGACAAAGATCCCCCATATAGCAAACTAGCGGGAAGTACCCGGCTTTGCCCCGGCGAAAAACACACACATCGACTTAGACACATACACAGACATCGACCCACACACACAAACACATCGACTTAGACACATACACGATATGGACTCACACGCACAGACATCCACTTTAGATACACACACATGGAGTTACACACACAAATCGATGTACACACATACAGCGACTCGCACACATACGTAGACTCTCACACACACATCGACCTAAGCACACATATGGATTTACACACACATATCGACTAAGAGACACCACATGGACTCACACACACACATTGACTTACACACACATGGACTAACACACATACATCGACTGACACACATAGACACACACACACACATGTGTAATAAAAGGACTCAGACGCTTCTCGCTGACTCCGTGTCCTTTATTTGGGGTTCGCGTTTTCCTTCCACACACACGGGCACTCCTCCTGAGACTCTCTCCCTGGCAGCCCCACATCTGCCTTCGCTCCCGTAGCCTTCCACGCTCCTGCAGCTCCGCTGCAGGCTCTTGGTACAGCCCTCTGGCTGCTCCCCCAGCAGCTCCATCGCTGCTCCCTGTTCCTCCGTGCGTGGCGATCTCGCCACCTCCCAATGTCAGCCCTTCGTGGCCTCTATGGCTATCTCGCCATTTCCTACCTCAGCCCTTCGTGGCCTCTGTGGCTATCTCGCCACTTCCTACCTCAGCCCTTCGTGGCCTCTGTGGCTATCTCGCCACTCCACCTCAATCCTCCACTCTCTCTTCCACCCCGCTGGCTGGCGCCGTCATGAGCCCCTCAGCCACCAGGCTGAGGCACGGCGACCACCCAACGTGTTCACCACCCTTCACTCCCCCGACTGACCCAGATAGCTTCCTGTCTCCCCGCTATAACTTCTCCCCCACGTCACCCTGACTCCTCCCTCTCGGATCGTCATATCCGCCCCGCCCATTTACGCCCGCATTACACTACCCTCCCCCGTAGAGAAAATCCCAGCCGTCCTCGGCTGAAACAGAACAAAATAATGCGGGCGAAGGCATCACAATCAGGAGTCCCCCAGACACAACGGAGATTATAACAACAACAACACAAGCAACGAAAGGGGAGGTATCAGGAACTGGAACAGAACACCGGCCTGTCCTCCGCAACAACAACAAGAATAAGAATGGCACAATGAACAAAACGGCAACTGACACGCAAGAACGGCCAACGCGCACAACCCAGAAATGTGATGTTTTAGTGCGTGTCCATGTTGCAGTTCCATCCGCTCGGCTCAAGTCCAACGTCAAAGAGCAAGTGGTAGAGCAGAATGACGAACGGCGCTCAATTGCTCCTTCAAGTCCTCATCCAGCTAGCACACCAGGTAACACCCAGTGCGACGGGAGCTGAAGAATCTGTGACGAGAAGGAGAATCCAATCCCCTGAGGCACAGCACAACAACGCACATCCGCATGTCGTACACGACAGCCACCCGGCCTCAGGGTAGTGGAGATGATGTAAATCCAGCCCGCTTAAAAAAAACTCCCCATAAATACCCAAAATAACGCAATGGATGCCCCAGTATTTACATTTTAACAACAATATTATTTACACGTACAACAACAACAACAAAATTTCCTGCTCTTCCCACCAGCAGTCCTCCCTTGAGGACCAGCACAGACATCGCACGTACACAGCATGTACCCACGGTCACTCTCAGCAACCCAACAAAACACCTAATCACACCCTCGCGTGGAGAGAGCCACGCTCCCCAGCGGTAACGTTTAACTCGCCCTAACCCCCACCGTGGTCGTCAACCCACAGCAACATCCACTGACCATACTCTCAGCTAGTGCAATTTCGGGGATGAGCAGCAACTCGGCCATGCTCCTCCCTTACTATCCCATCAGAGATGGACACACACCAGCCTCGTATAGTCCGATGCTTTATAGCCCAGGGAAGGTTCATCCCCCAGCAATGCCAGACCCCATGTACTCCCCCCACGGGGCAATGTTCTCTTATAGAGACAATAACACCCTAACCCAGATCCCGTGAGCCCCCGGCACACCAGGTTCAGTCTGCCACCGCACAACTGAACCATGACTCCCCGAGCCATATGAGCACATGGCCCATTAGTTTAAGACATACCACGGAGGTTTCGCCTCCGGGCTGTCAGGTCAGCCATCAGCCATAGGCCGATGTGACCACAACTCGTGCATCACCCAATCAACAATGGCAGGCATAACAGATGGAATATTTGCCCCACCCCGGTTTTTCCCGCGCGCTCAAAATGGCGTCCCCCTTCGCCCAGCGCGTTCGCGCAATATCTCGCGCGCACTCAAAATGGCGGCCCTTTCCGCAAAGCGCATCGTCGCCATACCCCGCGTGCGCGCAAAATGGCGGCCCAACGTGCGAACACGTGCCAAAAATGGCGGCCCATGCGAACACGTGGCCAGTTTTCTCCATTCGTGCACCCCAGCTTCCCTATGCTGGGGGTCACAAACGCATCCCCCGTCTTATTGTAACAACCCCAACAACGATAGACGCACAGCCCCAGCTTGCTGCGCACAGCTGTCATATCGTGGAATTTTTAACCAATATTTTACCAACCACATTGTTACACAACCCAACTCGCCAAGCAACTCGTGGCTGCATGCATCAACCAATACGCGACGCCACTTGGCGCCAATTTACGATCCCATTAGCATTAACATCTAAGCCACCCACAACGGCGTCATCGCGCACCCTCATTTTCAAAAAGCTCAATTACCCCTATAATATACACGCAATCTCGTGTGCACAACACCCATACAACCAAATTTTGGGTCCCCCTCTATAATATACACGCAATCTCGTGTGCACAACAACCATACAACCAAATTTGGGTCCCCCTCGAATTTGTTACCAATTTCCAACAGGTACGCACAATATAATAACAATCTCAATTCCAATAGTCAACCACTGCATCGCACCCCATAACCATACAGAACGGTATAACAGCACATGCAATCAGCATATCGCGATCACACGCGTACATTTAAGCACAATAGCAAGCAGATCTGCAGGCAACCAACACACCATTAATCCTGTCGTAACTTTGCAGCAACAACACAATTATTCTCTCTCTTGCAACAATCGCATCGCACACAGCACCTCGCAGCACAATACACCAAAAAAAATATTTTTTTTTTCCAATTAAGCCCATCACACAAGGTAACCCACAAATAATACAGCGCAAGATACCCGACGCTCCCAAGTTAATAATTAACTTCACCATCAAGATAAAACTCCACGCAGCAGCGCACACACACAATTTGACACTCAGCAAATACAGCAGACTCTCCGTCCATTCTCAACACACGCACACACTTATATTAACACCAAGCAGATAGCGCGTTCATCGTTATTACACACACATACACAGTCCGAACCGCGCTCCGCACAATCGAGTCATAAGAGAAAACCAAAATAGCCCCCCGGCCCTCGAAAGATGAGTGAGGTGTGTGTTAAGGCCGGGTGCGTATCGTTATGACTCGCCCGGGGCTGCAGCAAGAAGAGGACGGCAGGGTGGCAACTTGAGACGCCTCGCAGAACTCGTTCGGCGACTTGACGGCTCCGTTGTCACGCACCCGAGCCAGGACGGGAAGCTCCCGCCCCAGCAGCTGCAGCATCGGCGTCTTCTCCTCGCAGCACCCCCTCGAAAAACAGCAGCTCACAGCAGGCTGCTCACCCCGCGGCACCTCCAGATGGCAGCGCAAGGCTGCCTCTCCGCCGCGATGTTGAAGATGGCGGCGTCCTCCCGCCGCGGTGAAGACAAGATGGCGGCTTCCCGCCGTTTCTCCCCTGCCACGCCCAAGATGGCGTCTTCGTGCCACGTGGCAATGGCGCTGGCAGCGCAGGAAAGGCAGAGGCCTGCGGATCACCACCGGGCCTCCCCGACGTCGTCCTCGGCGTGGTGAACTCACACAGTCGCCAGCACGATTTTCAAGGTCCCCATCTGCATCACCATCTGTCTCCATCGTAAGTTGGCATCCTCCGGCACAGACAGGTCCACCGACGCGGCGACACCTTGCTCACCCGGACCCGTACTCGTTCCAGAACGGATCTCCTCTTCCATCGCAGGCAGGTCCACTGTCTGAGGAAGGTCGTCGTCGTCGGATGATGTAGCAGGAATATTTTTTTTTTTCTTTCTCTCTCAGTTGTTTTGAGATGCCGTTTCACTTCTGACTCCAGTGTAATAAAAGGACTCAGAACGCTTCTCGCTGACTCCGTGTCCTTTATTTGGGGTTCGCGTTCTCCTTCCCACACGGCACTCCTCCTGAGACTCTCTCCCTGGCAGCCCCACATCTGCCTTCGCTCCCGTAGCCTTCCACGCTCCTGCAGCTCCGCTGCAGGCTCTTGGCACAGCCCTCTGGCTGCTCCCCCAGCAGCTCCATCGCTGCTCCCTGTTCCTCCGTGCGTGGCGATCTCGCCACCTCCCAATGTCAGCCCTTCGTGGCCTCTATGGCTATCTCGCCATTTCCTACCTCAGCCCTTCGTGGCCTCTGTGGCTATCTCGCCACTTCCTACCTCAGCCCTTCGTGGCCTCTGTGGCTATCTCGCCATCTCCACCTCAATCCTCCACTCTCCTTCCACCCCGCTGGCTGGCGCCGTCATGAGCCCCTCAGCCACCAGGCTGAGGCACGGCGACCACCCAACGTGTTCACCACCCTTCACTCCCCCTCCCCGACTGACCCAGATAGCTTCCTGTCTCCCCGCTATAACTTCTCCCCCACGTCACCCTGACTCCTCCCTCTCGGATCGTCATATCCGCCCCGCCCATTTACGCCCGCATTACACATGGACTGACACGCACACTTGGACTTAAACACACACACACATTGACGTACACACACAGACATCTGGCGTTGCCCGGG